GAATCATCCACTTTCAGAAATCAACAACCCCAAAACCCCAAAACCCCAAAACCCCATGATGATAAAAGAGTTCAAATTAAGTTGCAATTTAAAAATTCTAGGAAATCATAAATATTTTCAATCAGCAAATAAATTGTCAAGTACCTTTTGCATCTCAAATATTATTACTGCTTAATCATCAAAACTTATGCCATCTACAGTTGTTCCAACTTATTTTGTAATTCCATCTTTAATTCCGTATTTCTCAAGCAATCTTGCACAAGCTTTTTCATTTGAAACCATTACTCCAATCTAAGTTAGCATGAGATCCTTGAAGTCCTTTACTAAAGCTATATCTTTAACTAATGGCTACATGAATTAAGGAAATAGACTAATCAATTATTTGTGCTATGATGAATCAAGCTTCATTTTAACTAGTCCTAAAATAACAAAGTAAACTAGAGCATATCCACCGAAATTGCTAGTATCACTGACTATCAAATTATCGCAATAAGTGTTAGCTGCAATTTTTTCTCCATTATTGATGTGTTAAATTACAAGTTTTTGAACTTTTCCCATTCCTACTTCATTACCTCCATCCCCGATTGATATTAAATGCTGATTAGAATTTTTCTTTTTCTCTCCAACTAGTGGAAAGAGATGCTTATCAAAAGCTGAACTTAGATGAGATATATCAAAAGCACTCATTGTAAGATACTTTTCACTAATAGTAATTGAAGGCCTCTCTATACTTACTATTGCATCAAAGGTTTCAGAAATGATTTAAAGCTTTTGTAGTGAATCACTAGATAGATTATTATGACCACATTCTAGAAACATGCTATCAAGGTTTCCTTTCAATGATGTGTTCATGTCCTGGAGGTAAAGTTATATAATTTCCTTCATATATGGTTCTGAATGAGCATCAAATAATAAGGTAACTTATTTGTTCATATTTAACAAGCATTTAGCTATTGCAAATGCTCCAGCAATACCGTCAGTCTCATAATGTGGTTCACTATCCATGATGCAAGCAAACCCTGATAATATAGCAACTTTTGAGGAATCTACCAATTTTTTAGCTGCTAATTGGAATTCTTAATAGTTATCATCTGGGAGAATATTTCTGATACCTCTATTTCCAATATCCTTCTAAATAATATCAGCTATCTCATTCTAAGTCATTTCAATTCTTTTAAGAATCAAGTTGTTATTCACTTAGTTTAAATTTTCCTCTGAAGTACTCTGCATATTAACTTTAAATACACTTAAGCTTATATAATTTATTAATAATCTTTTTAATAACTTAAATAATGGCTACTTTAAGAAATAACAGTATGAGTTCAATTATTTCGTAGAACAAACAGTCATAGATGAATACATGCTAATCAACATAAAATTTGAGAGATGATAAATTTAGCCTTGAAGCAGTAGCTAAATTGGATGATAATCAGATTTAATAATATATGTGCCGCATCAATAGTCCACGAAGTATAAAAGCATTGCAGAAAACTGGCATTTCAATTGAAGACTTCTAACCCCAGTAAGATTATTTTTTCCTCATGTTGGAGATAAATAACAGTGGAATATAGGATTATAAATAAATTTTATGAATACTTGGAATAAAATTAGCCAAAATAGGAGAAGTCCTAAGATATTGCAAATATGAAAGCCCAATTTTTTTCTTAAAGAAGGAAGAAATGGTTGCAATAAGCGCTTAATGAGAGAGAAAAATTCATCTAAACAGAGATGAGCAACCATTAGAAAACTGCAAGAGAAGAAGCAAGAGGAGGAAGTGGGTTATAGAAAATTGTATGTAGGGATAGTATGAGAACAGTTTCGAGTTCAGAGCTCCCTAAGGCTCTTATTGATGATAAAGGATATTTAACAGCTAGATAACAAGATAATCTTTAGAAGTAATTTAGCTCAACTGGATTCTCTAAGAATAGCTTTATGATTCAAAATAAAAACTCTTTAATTATACCGACTTATTAAAAATATGTAAGATAATTTCTAAAATTAATGTTTCATTATTCGTTAGCCAAGTGTATTCAAGAATAGCTAGATTGACAAAACTCTAAAATTTTACCAGATAAAGATCAATAAAGAGTTGAGTGATTAGAAGGCTTAAGATAATTTAGACAAAAAATATGAGGACTTTTACCTTTACAAAACTTATAAGAATGAGGAGAGAGTGTAATTGAAGAAAAAGATCAACGATTAAACAATCGAGAGATTAAGAGAGCTTGAAAATAATAAGGCATAAGAGTTGAAGCAATAAAGAGAGAATTATTAGTAATTCTTGATGCTTTAATTAAGTGAAAGAATGTAAAAGCACTTTAGTAATTAATCTAACAATAAGCAAAAAGAGGAGATGATTTAATATAGAAGAGATGAATTAAGTAGAAAGTTAGAAAACTATGAGAATATGTTATAAGAGCGGTATAACTGCAAAAATTAGGAACTGCTACTGAATAATGAAAATAGATAGACGAGAAAGCTGTAAGCTTAAAAAACTCATCGAGAAAAAATTTAGACAAGATGTGAAAAGACTAATAATCTCTTAATGTAAGCAGCAGAATTCAGATAGCATGATATCCATTCCAATGAAAGACAAAAACTTAAGCATTATTACTCAGTGCTTGACAAACTTGATGCAGTAGAAGAGAGAAGAAAGGAAATGGATAAAACTTTTAAAGAAAAAAAAGAGTCGAAAAAAGAAAGATACCAAGAGATATTCGAGGCTTATGAGAGAGGAATAAAGGAAATCAAAGAAATTTTTAGAAAAAGGATTTAGGAGAAGGAAAATATAATGATGCTGAGAGACAAACTCAAAAAATAGAAGAAAAAGGAAAAAGAGGAGTAAAATAAACTGAAGGAATGGGAAACACATATGAATGTTACTCAGGCAAAGAGGAAATAAGAGTTCAATCAGACATAGATGATTGAGAAACTTACATTCCAATAGAAAAGAGTGAACAAATTCTTGAGGTAAAAAAGTTTGACTATTTCCCGAGGTCATTTCAATATTATGGCGGAGTAAATGAGAAGATAACTGATGAAAGAGACATTTATAGAGATGGAGATTAGAAATAAATACCAGGAAAAACTACTTAGAAGAATTGACTAAGACTTTAAAGATGAACTCGTTGATGAAAATGATGAGACTATTAATGAAGTTCAGCTTCAATAAAAGTATACACATCTGTTCTACCTAATGAGTCATTACCAAAAAATGTTCCAGCAACAGGGCATGCATATCATTGAGATCATGTTCAAAAGAGAAAAAACTCAAAGGTAAAGAATGAAGGCCTTGTGCTGTATGATCTGTAAATCAAATCTGTTTGATGCTGACATCTATTACAATAGCTTAGATGAGAGAGAATTCAATATTTGTGCTTTTTGTGAAAGTTCTCCAGAGATTATAGGACATCTTTACCCGTTAATCTTGATATACAAATCATATGATTTGTCTGAATAAATTAGAATAAAGTACAATTCATTTATTTAGAACAATAATCCAAATGAACTTGAAAAATCTTGCTGCTATTGTAAAGAGGAAATTGCAAAAGGTTCGTTTTTTATGATTAATGAGGAATTCCAAAAAGGATTATATTTTAGTTGTGTGAAATGTATGGATGATGTGAGACTAGACAAAATATACATGGAAAAGTTTATTATCAAGATAGATAAACTAGATTATTTAAAGACCCTTGAATTATGATGATAATTATTATTATAGTTAAGCTTAATTACATTGGACGCAACTTATTTAGATAGATGGGGTTTTGGGGTTTTGGGGTTTTGGG